ACAAGTGCATCGCTACTAGTAACAAGTGCCTTACTAGTAGTAACAAGCAGCTATTAGTATTTGGGAAGCCTTTGACTTTCGCATAAAGTAGCGTTGGACCCGGCCCCATCCCAAGTCCAGTGCAGACACAAGGGTATTGGGGATAGCTCGTTCACTCAAATGTTTGAGTTCCTTTCAAAGATGTCCAAGCTCGTCCCAAAAACTTGTAAAAAGGAGAAAAGAGGATAAAAGATGTGAATTTCTGAATCTCTGTAATCGAAGGTTATCCTTTAGCTCCTTTCACAACTCCTGTTCAAGGCCATTGAAGGAAATGCATTGAACAAACATGCAATTTACAATTTACAACCAAAGTCAAGAAAACAAACAATTTCAAACTCGATTAGCAGCTTTACTGCTGGAGGAATGGTTCACCATGGCTTCGGATACTTACTGGAGCAAGGTTAAAGATTAGGTAGGGACGCAGGTAGTGATGTTCAAACACATATCAGCGCTAAGTTTTGCAAGCGCACTAGCAGCATGCTTTCTAGAGCTGTAGGTAGAAAGTACTCAAACATCACATACTGTGCTAGTTCATGGGGTGCTTCTTGACTTCAACGTAGAACCGTTAAACACATATACAGTCATATACAGTATATTTATAGCACATTCCTGACAAAATCCTTTGAAAGCATGTCCAGGAAAAATGGTCGGAAATCATTTGAGTTTGATGGAGAAACATTTGTTTTTGCTGGGAAAATGATGCTTCTGATCAGCAGGTTCTGGCGCACGAGGCTGCTTTTGTTTGAGCTAGGCATTGCCATCTTAGGATGCCTTCTAGAAAAAGAAACGGGTTCTTGGCAGGTCCTCTCTGCGAATGGGACTTGTGCACCCCCCAAATTGCGAAAAAAAAAGGGTAGGTCTTTGTGGGAGTTTGTTTGGATTTTCTGGGAGTGTGTTAGGGTTGGTTAGGATTTGGTGGAACAGCAATGTGGAATACTAAATGTGCCACGTTTTTCTGGTGGAACGATGCACAAAAGTTGGAAAATGATGGAACGTGTACTTGGGAACACACTAGGAAAAAGGTTAAGTGGCATAGGCCCATCGCTGACAGTTCACTCTGAGTGAGAAAAACAGTTCATAGTTGTTTGACACGAACAAACTTAGTTTTATGATGAAATTTCAGAGTTTTCATGGGATAATTGTTATATATTGTTATGGTTCTCTTGGGAGTATGTTGGTTTCCTGAAGGATTTTGTTTGTAGGTCAATTTTGTGAGGCGGTGCTCTATCAAGAGGGTGTGGTAGTGGCACTTTGAGAACCAAGTCCAGCAAGTTGGCAGTCGATTCTGTTTCGTTGCTATTTTGGTTTCTAGGGGTAGGGAGACATAGGTCAAGCCCTGTCTACCACAAAAACGCGTTTGATGATTCCATGATCCGTTCGATTTATATCTTCTCTACAGACTGAGTCCGAAAAGCCGAGACCGAGGCCGACAGAGATTTCTTTGGGACTATGACCAGTGCAACTACGGTCGCTGCCGGTTCCAGGAGATGGGCGAAACCGATCTCAACCGCAGATCTCAAGAAGAAACAACGGCTTTTAAAGGACCTTTTTTAAGAAGAAAACTCCTTTTAAAGGAGACCAAAAAGCAACCATGCTCTTTACATCTTTTTACCATGTGTTCCTTCTTTTCCATTTTAAAAGAGGAATGAAAAGCAACGGTGGTGAAAAACACCAGTCCTGGTGAAACTCACCGCGGTCTTCAAATTTCACCGTGCATCGCTTTGAGTGTTGCACAGCATTCTGTGCGGGAGAGGTATGTCGGGGGCAATGAAAGCACACTTCTTTAGAAGCTCTGAAAAGATTCCTTAACTAGAACTCCAACAAGGCCAGCCCGTAGGCATACGAAGAGGCAGGTGAATACACAGCAAGGCAGGTGCGTCCACCTCGACGGAGATGAACACGATGCCTTTACTGGCCAATCTGCGACAGGGTGTGTTGTGTGCAGCTGCATTCTTGTCGTGTTGAATTGGATTTGCAGGCTCCAGCAGGTTGATCGGTTATGATCAGTTTCATGTTTGTGTGCTGAATTCTTCCTACTCGTTGCAGATGCCCACTCATGGTGGTGCAAGAACTGTGATACGGAGCAGATTGCATATTGGCATCATGAAAGTGCGTTCAAGCTACCCTCAGACATTCCTCCAGTAGAATCATCCTTCTGAAAGGTGCAAGTTCCACAATTGCCGGTTTTGGATGGTTCGTTGTTTTGTGCTTCTTTTTGGGTTCGTGGTTTGCTAGACGAGTCGACGGTTTTGGGCCCAGAGTCGATTGGACGAATCATTTCGACATCAGCAGATGAGTCTGCAGACGATGCCTAGACTACTCGAGGTTTTTAGATAGCAGCGAAGGGCGAAGGGCGGTTCCTGGCCGAGAATGAAGGTCAAGGTGTCAGAGTAAACAAGCAGTCAGTAGGCTAGGTTCTCTTCCCAAGACGAACCTGCGGAATTTTGTATATTTTGTATAGTGTTTGAATGTTTTTGGAACACAACACATGTCTTCCAGCGGTGACTATGACAAGTTGTAGGACTGGAGGGATTTGCCACTCTGGTTGATTCTTGGCTGCACCTGTGGTGAAAACTCTGGGAAAACCGGAGTTTAGGATTTGTATTTAGTGTGTTCTCACCAAAGATAAACATCCTGGCAGAGAGAGAGAGGGGCATCAAGAAACATAGCAATCTATATGGGCATTAATGTGTGCATGCCAACAATCGAATGCATTCTGCCAAGTTTCCCAAAGTCTTTTTGTGTTGACAACAACGAACTGCGTTCCATTCGTTTGCCTGTCCTAAAGCTTTACTTTGGAATTGAATCTTCTTCAGCTCAAAAAACTTGGAATTGCACCCTGAGCAAAATGAAGCCAATGAAACCTACTCTGCGGCACCCTATCAAGAAACGGTGCCCGTGGGAACCGGCTCATTATGAATTCTGGCACTCTGCAGGATTTGCTTAGAACAAATTTCCAAAACATAGACATTCCTTCTCTGATTGCATACTAGATTGTTTCAGGGAATGTTTGGAGCACCCAAGACTCAATCCGTTATCACTTTATCATTGAAACCGTTTGAAACAACAGCTCAACATACCTGAGGTTTCTCATATCCGGTTGCATACGTTGGACTTTTGAAAGGGAACTCATTGTATGAATGTTGTTTTTGCCTGACATAGCATTCAGGTCTGAAAGTGCTTTGGCCTTAACGTTCCTTCACCGACGATCTGCAGGTGGCGTGTGCACAATGCTGTCAACCTGCATGTTGTGAGGGGTCTCAGACTTCCGAAGACTATTTATGGTAGAGTCAGTTTCGTTTGTGCGTTTGTTTGTTTGTTGCAGGTCGTGTGGCTTAGCTTTCATTGACTGGACTCCGGAGTTTCAGCTTCCTCCCATCGTTGCAGATTTGAGAACAACCACCTATATAATAGCGTCCTTGCTACTAGTAGCTTCTTGTTACTAGTAGCGATGGCCTCCATCCTACTTGCGATGGCCTCCACTGAGCATAGCGTCCTTGCTCCCTTGCAGAACAAATTAAGACTAATAGTATCCTCGTGTGGACGCTATGTCCGCTATGTGCCTTTGCCGGTCCAACTCTTGCCGGTCCTTAGTTCGATGGTCGACCCTCAGGCAGGAAAGCATGAGTCCTCACCAGATAGACGATGGCCAATGTACCAGGCGATAGCGAATGGGCGATGTGTGGCGAATGTGGCGAGTGTTCGTTCTTTGAAAGTGGGCCATAGTCGGCCAAAGTAAGCTTTCAAGTCTAAGTACTAAGTAGTAGATGATGTGCTTCAAAGCTTTCTTGACGATTGTAAGCTTTCTATTGTAACTAAGTAGTAGATGATGTGCTAGGACACTCTGTGCTCAGGACACACTAGGAAGCTTCTTTGAAGATCCCCTCGCATGATTGATTTGGTTCCTTGATTTGATGCGACGAGATGTGTTCTTTTCATTTCTTTTCCTGTTCCTTCTACCTAAAGGCAGTTTCGTGTTGCTGTGAGGACCTCTCAGTTGCATGCTTGCTAGTCCTCAGCATGGCTTGAGAAGCAGATTGTTAATCACACAAGACCAGGATGGTGTTTGAGTTTCAAACTTTCAACCTGACTTTGGTTCGTTCGTATGATTGGATGCTAGCGTGGTGAATCCTGCCCTGGTGGGCCTGATGTTGTGGTTCGCCAAACAACACCAACAGAGAATGTACTGAGGATTGCCCTAGCTGCTGGCGAGAAGACTTGGTCATGGGCACCCCACGGGTGCGGTTTGCGAAGGGCACGGAAGGGCAATGCATTTGGATGTGTTGGACATCCCCATAGTTGATTTCAACCCTGAGCCGAACCTTGCATGGAATAGATTCAACATGATTCAAAAAACATCAAAAAGCACGGTCTAGTGAGAAGCCTCTCAGTCCTTTATTGGCTATCACCATCTATCAGCCAGCTACTCATACGATCAATCCGCAGGCGTGGTCAATTCGTGTTGTAGTCAGTTTGGCTAAGGGAGACCAACCAAAAGGCGCTGGACACCTCCAGTATGTGTTGATTTTTTTCCGGAAGTTGGACGATCAGCGGCAACATCTTCGGAACGGCCCACAAGATGGGCCAACTTGGCTTCAAACTGACCCTGAGTTGGCCCCAACTGCCAGAAAAAGACAGTACACAACCCCTTCAGGTTTTCGTGTATTTTTTCCATTGCATCAAGGTCTCAGACTGCGCGGCGCCGAATCACTTTTTTTGTGCCCAATCAAACGTCGACCACATGACCCTTCTGGCACCGTCCAGAAACCGAAACGACGCCCACTGCACAGTGCAGACCGTTTTGATGGTCATACGACTGCAGACTTGGGCCTGTGACTTCCCCACGGAGAATACGTCGCGATTTCCAAAGGTTTCGGTTCCACGAACCTGGTTTTCAGAACGCCAGGCCCTGTCCGTCTCTCCGGTGGATGTTTACAAGGAGGAGCACCGTTCAGAAAGCCGTTCGGAGACCAAGCAGAAAGGCCGTTCGGCCAAGAGCTTCCACCAAGGCTTCGGTGTTTACAGTTTGTTTTTTTTCAACTTCGGTGTGACTTCTTGGCGAGTCGAGTTTGTTCCTCTCTATGTGTCGGATAGATCTGATATGATCTGATCAATGCATGCCAGGAAGGGCAGTGGAAAGATGTGATTCCCTTTGCCAAACGATCAGTTCCAACGTCAAAAGATGCGATGTTCGCCTGGAGCAATGTTCATGGACCTACAGCTGCGATATGGCCTTTTTGGGGGGGTTGTGAAAGACCAACATGAAAGCATTAAAAAAACAAAACAACAACCAGCGAAGTGACCAGATGATTCCAATGGGGCCAAAGGGAGGGCATGTTTGACAACTCTCCAATGGTGATATTAAATTGTTCAGAAATGCATGCCGCTGTGCAAAGCCCACAAGCATCGCCATGTTCTTCCACAGCCTCATGGCATTCCGGTGGTGGGAGGAAGATGCTTTACATTGTTTTTGCTAATTGCTTTGAGTTAAGGCATGGTTCCATATGAATTGCAGCCAAAAGGAATCAGCAAAATATTGTGTCTTATCTGATAGAACAGCCTCATGTCACTATGTCAGTCTATGTTGGGCGTACCACTGGGGATTCACCAAACATAGAGTGACATAGAGAGGTCCTCAGAACCGTCAATTTTGTCGCTGACGTCATTGCGACTCTTGCATCTCTTGCTCAGGATGGTCAACTGAAGAATTGGACATGCCTTTCGACACCAAGGAACCCTGGCATGTTGACACACATTCACATATATGGTGCAATGTCCTCTCTTTCCTCTTGCGTTCGCCGATGACTGTTGTCTGTGGCCGCTGTGCACTAGAATTCCTAATTAACACTGGACAATTTCTTGCCATGAAAGTCTTGCCCCATGCTAGCCTTCTGGTCGAATTGACCAACCAGGGCCTCGCAGCGGTCAAGAAACCATTGCGGGAGAGCAGAGGGATCTGTACTTTCGTGCTGGCTCGAAAGGAAAACTTTTGCGAGCACCTCGCAGAAATCCTTCGGATATTCTTTGAGTGAGGTGGTCAGCCACTCGCCGTGTTCTCCTTTTCCGATGGAAATTGTCTTAGGCAGGGGTGTTGTCCTGCCGCTCAGGAGCAATTGCTCAGCATTCTCAGCTACATTCATGCACAAAAGTTCTGTAGGCTTAGGTGATTTGGCTCCATAGTAGCCTTGCAAGACGCGGATTCGCCGGCACTGGTCGAAGCGCAGGAGAGTCTGCACCACTGGTAGCCTCCAGATGCACACCTGGTTGTGGTTGTTCAAGTCTTCAGCAGGGTGCTCCAATATCGCCGTCTTTCCTTCGAAGAGGGCAACAACCATAAGTCTAAGCATTATGCCAAGGAGCCTGCTTCCGAAAGCAACCTGGTCATGCTCCTTCATAGTCAGCCCTAACAGTCCCATGGGTCTTGCCATGCTGCGCACGACTCTTGGACCTGGTCGTCCGTCAGGGAGTAGTGACCCACGCGCCCTGGACCACGTTTCACACGGTGGTCCTCCAATGAAGCCAAGGAGGACATCTTCTGCCAAGGCGCGGACGAAGAAAGCGAATGTGTCTGCTTTTGCCAAATCACCATATTCGATGTGGAAAATTATGTCGATTGACAATGCGAAAGCGCCAGAAGCTTCGAGGTGGCTCTGAATGTCGCCTTCCCTTCTGTGACCTGAGAAGAGATGAGCGAACACTCTCGGTGAATACTTTGGCACTCTGGCAACGTGGCAATGTAAAGTCGTCATGCGGTGCGCATGATGTTCGAAAAAGTCCATCGACTTCTGTGCCAAGTTGTCTTGAGCAATATGTTCACCAGTGAGCCATTCATACGAGAAATGCGTCTGGAACAATTGCAAAATCCCCAATTGTAGCAGGTCAATTGCCTCATCAAAGTCTGCATGCCATTGCTTGAAAGTGGCAAGCAGTTCATCCGGGTATAGGAAGGTCGATCCAGCAGCTCTTCGCAATTGTTCTAGCGAAGCATCTTGATCTCGGAGAGCTAGTGCAGCATCCCACAACAAACGAAGTCGGGTGCACTCAGCTCGAATCTGAGGATCATACGGTGCATTTGGATCAATAGGCGCCTCCAACGGCCCTTCCGCTTGAAGATAGGGGAGGCGTATTACTTCGCTGGCCTTCCTAGCTTGCCTGCTATTCACTCCAGGAGTAGGTTCAGCGAGAGTCGGTCTTGTTTGATAAAACTGTAGGCAGCGTTGTGTCCTTTTGACATGATTGACTAGGGACACATAGCTTCCATACTTCTTCAGGCAGCACAGACAATCTTGTCCCTCAACGAAATATCTTGCTATCTGGATCCTGCCATGTTTCTTGAAGGAGTGGACAGTCATGGCAGCACGGTTGCAAAACACCTTCTTGCACGCGAGGCACCAAAAGGAGTCTGATTTCTGTGGCATCTCAGGCTGGCCAAATCCCTTCAGCAAAAGTCGTCCTTGTATTTCTGCATGCCAAGACTTCCAGTCGTAGATTCTTGTATGGTAGTTGACAGCCCTGGCAACTGCCTTTCGGATCACTCTCTTCCACTGGCGTGGATGGTGGAGCGCCCAATCTTCTGCTTTCCACCAATCATCAGGCTCACCTGTCGGTATATCATGCTCGGGGCAAAATGCTTGGAGCCATTCGAGATCCTGACGAACTTGGGCAAACCAGGAGCCTTGAAGTTGTATCAATGCCCAGGTGTGTGGCTGCCCATGGCGTACCAATTGCATGATGTATCGAAGTCTGGCTTCTCGACATACATCGTCTGGGTGTGGTAACTCCAATGTCGCTCGTACATGGTCAAAACTCCATTCCTTGGCATGATGACCAAAGTGTGACCAAGTGAGTCGTTTGTACAGTCGGTGGAATCCTTTTTGCATCTGGGTTTTCTGTCTCTTTGTCTCCATTTCCCAAATTGCACAACTGAAGGTGATAGTGCTCAGGATGAGAGACTTAAAGTATTGGACTTTTGTCTTCAGCTTGAGACTTCGATTGTTGAAGATCTGTGCACGAAACTTGGTGAAAGTATCATGTGCAACCGCGAACTTGACACTGAGATCTTTTGTGAGTTTTGCCCCTTGCTGGATATAGGTACCCAGGTGTTTGTAGCAGTAGACAGCTCTCAGTGGTTGGTCAAGAAGGGGCGATTGAAGGTGCAGTTGATGCCCCATTTCCATCCATTGCCGTTTTGCCCTCAAACTGCCTGGACCTCGTAGTTCTACCACTATCTCAGTTTTCCCAGGCTTGAGGTTGGGTCTCAGACCTGCGGCGGCCAATGAATGTAGTACTTGCGCGGCAATCTTCGGCAGGACATCTAAAAGTACGGAAGCATTTTGATGTCTGACTGCAAGTGCAACATCATCAGCCCATATCGGCATTAATGGGCCGAGGGTGCAGTTGTTTTGCAGCGAAGTCTGGGGGCAGCAGCTACCATTCCACGTCATCTGTAGGAAAGGAAAGTCAGCCACAAGCTGCTGCTGTGTGCGTCTGAGTATCTTGCACAAGACAAATCCAAAGCATATGTCTGCAAAGGAATCACCAGGGCGGCTTCCGCGCCTGGTCTGGGTCAGTACCGGTGTACCTTCGACCGAGTACCACGTTGTGCTATAGAACTCCTGGAAGAGGCTTTTCAAGAACGGACTAGCAGTAGAACTGTCCAAAGCAGGAGCACTGCTGCAAAGTTCTTGGAATTCGAGAAAAGCTTCGGAAGGGAGTCCGAGGCTCTTGAATAGTTCTGCTGTGTTTCGTGCGTCCTGTGCACACTCAATGAGGTGTTGACGAAGGAGCCGGTAAAAGGCACTTTGGATGTCGATGAACAGAAAGGCACAGCTCTCGCCTTCACGAAGTGCCGATGTGTGGAAGAGTCGCAATGCATGGCTAGCTTGTGCAATACTCTGTCCCTCAAGACCTCCTAACTGCATCTGTAGACGCTGGTCAACAAAAACTCTTCCAAGTTCCCTTCTGTAGATGCTGTGGAGGGCTTTTCCGATGTGGCTGGACACAAACAGGCTGCGATAGCTATTGCAATCAGTAGAGTCGCCCTTTTTGAAAACTGGCACCAGCTTGCCACCTTTATGAAGGAGTGATTCTTGCTGGTACGCTGCCTGCTTGCACAGCAGGGATTCTGGCGAGAAGATCTCCAGGAATGTCATCGCAATAGTATGCTTTATTGCTCTTCATTCGCCGGAAGCTGGCCTCTACCTCAATGAAGGTGGGGAGCTGCGACCACTCTGGACAAACAAATGACACGTTCTTCTTTTCATCGCAGAGGTCCATCAATTCTTGTATTGATTTGGCTTGTCCATCTTCTTGAAGTGAAAAATGTGTTCGCCATCGTTCTGCAACTTTTGAAGTAGTATCAAGCAGACAACCCTCCTCATCGCGCACCATAGGCAATGGTATGGCAAAGGTGGGCTTGCGTCTACTTTGGACACCCATAGATCGCAATGCAGCAGCAAAATCTGCTTGGGACATGGAATTGGCTTGTTCGCCAAGTTGTTCCAATGCGAGAGTTCGATCTCTTTTGAGTGATCTCTGCAGATCTTTGGTGAGCTGTGCAGTCTGGCGTCGGCAACGGATCAACATGTCTGTCTGTCGTAGTGTATACAGCAGCAGATCACGAGGCCGTAAACATTCAGCGAACCTCCATGCATGGAAGGCGAGAGTCGTAGTTGCATTGCAAGCTTTTTGGCAATGTAGCGCAACAAGCTTTCGCAAAGCCAGTCGTGCCTGTCTGATTCGCCAAGTAGTTTCAGTGATATAAGTCTTGCGTGGACGATGTCGATCACTCGGGAAAGCCGTTGCTAGTTTTCCTGCTACCCATTCTGCCAAAATCGTAGCATGCTGGTGGACATCAACTGACCAGGGCACAATTGGTGGCTTGCTAAACAATGCCGCCAATGTCTCAGGCGCACATTGCTGAAGTCTTTGACGGTCAAAGTTGCAGCGCACTTTACTCCCTTTGTGCTTCGTCAGATATACTTCAATTTCACAAGCAAGCGGGGAGTGGTCAATGCCAGCTGTCCCAGAGTCTAATTCATCATCAGGAAAAGTCCGACATGGGCCGTTCCACTCCTCTGGGAGCATGAAGTAGTCACAACGTGCCCCTTGCCCGTTGACATTGCTGATCCAGGTTTTTGTTGGTCCAGCGTGACAGGCTTCAAAGGTCGATGGGAGCCAACTTCCCAATTGGGCTAGTAGGTTCCCCAAGGATGTACCGGCAAAGTTGGTTCGCTCTTCAAGGCCGTGCTGGCCAATATGAGGCAGAGTGGCATAGCTCATGTGCGCATTGGCATCAAAGCCCCCGATGAAGTTTGGGTAGATTGGAACCCAATGCATCAGTTCATGCCGGAGCAAAGCCCAGAATCTTTGTTGCTCGCCTTCTTCAACGCCGCTGTGGGGAGCGTGGAAAGTGAAGAAAAGATAGTCAGTGCCTTTGCATACAGCTTTGGTCAACAGGAATTGGGGGTCAGCATACAGAACCTGGATAGCTTCCTTGGCAAACCCCGTACTAGCCCCATTCTGGAACCTCCTCAGCAGCCAAATTTCAACTCCGCCTCTGCCTCGATCAGCAGCAGCAGTAATACGAAAGTGGCTCTGTGACGTGACAAGCTGTGACTCGCGAGAACGGGTTTCTTGCAGAAAGCTGACAGCATAGTCAGACTTGGCGATTTGTTCTCGTAAATACGTGGCAAAAAAGGCACTTTTTCTGGGCTGCAAGCTAGACACATTA